CATTGGTACCGAAAACCCCCAATGCGTCGAGTATGAATGACTTCCGACCAATTGCGTGTTGCAACACCCTTTATAAATGCATCTCCAAAATTCTTGCAAGGCGTATTGCGCAGGTCCTTCCGTCGCTAATTGGACCGCCACAAACGGCTTTCGTCAGAGGTCGTAGAATAAGTGACAACATTATGATCGCCCAGGAGTTGTTTGCGGACTTCCACCATGAGTCTTACTTTCCTAAGTGCGCCATCAAGGTGGACTTCCAAAAAGCATACGACACGATTGAGTGGACCTTCATTCAAAAGGTACTTGCAGCTTTCAAATTTCCGGAAAACTTCACTAAGCTAGTTTTAGCTTGCATATCCACAGCCAAATTCTCAGTTGCAATAAATGGGGATCTTCACGGCTTCTTTGCTAGTAGCCGGGGAATACGACAAGGAGATCCGTTGTCGCCGTACCTTTTTGTCTTAGCTATGGAAATCTTTTCGGGTGTGCTGAGGGACAAAACTCTTAATCCGGATTTCCAATGGTTCTGGCGTTGCAAGAAAGTGCGCACCTCCCATCTATTCTTTGCGGATGACGTCCTTATATTCGCACAAGCGCATTTGAGATCTATTCAGCTAATCAAGGAAGCAATCGATTTGTTCTCCAATTGGTCTGGCCTAAGACCAAATGCCAGGAAAAGCAATATTTATCTGTCGGGAGGGAACCCGGAGCTACACAGCGACCTTCTACTATGCCTTGGGTTTCAACAAGGCTTTCTTCCTTTTCGATACCTAGGCGTGCCCGTCATATCTTCGAGGCTTCGGAAAGAGGATTGTAAATGCTTGATTGATTCCATAACGTCGCGTGTCCGATCTTGGACTCACAGGTTCTTGTCTTTCGCGGGCCGACTGCAGCTTATACGATCGGTCCTGGTTTCTATCCAGGTGTACTGGGCCACCATCTTCTCTCTTCCTAAGTCAGTGCTTTATGGTATTGAGACTATTTTGAGACAATTTCTTTGGAAGGGCCCTGATTTAGGCTCGGGCGGTGCTAAAGTTGCATGGGATACGGTATGCCTACCTAAAGAAGAAGGAGGTCTGGGGATCCGAAGACTCACTGATTATAATAGAGCTATGATGCTCAAACACATATGGCTTCTTTTCACCGATAAGGAGTCCATGTGGTGCAAGTGGATACACACGAACTTTATAAAAAGTTCTAACTTCTGGCTTGTGCCTAAGCCCACCTTTTGTTCCTGGACGTGGAAGAAAATCCATGATATGCGAGAATATGCTCGGACTATTTTTCGCTGGAAAATTGGTAATGGACGTTCAGTCTCCTTGTGGTTTGATTGGTGGCATGACAGAGGCCCCCTACACCTTCTCTTCAATGATACGGACATTTATCAGTCTCGTATTCCCCGGGACACTACTGTTCGGGCCTTTTATGACTCGGTATGGCAACATTCACTTACTCTGGATGCTATATTGAGCTGACGGAACCTTCACCTATTTTTCGGGGAGGACATTGAAGATGAGCTGATCGGGCTCCTCAACCATCCTCTACCTTCTCGGTGGCGACGACTCGGAACCATATAAGAAGAAAAGGATTGCCGGTTCAGTGGCATTCATTTATATGGGATCATCATATTGCTCCCCGACACTCCTTTCTTCTATGGATAATTTCCCTCAGTCGATTGCCTACTCAGACTGCTCTTATTCATAATAGCAGGATCGATGCCGCTTTATGTGCTTTTTGTGGTGCTACTCTGGACTCAATCAATCACCTCTTCTTCCAATGCTCCTCTACAAGAAGTTTGGCGTTTTTTGGGCAACTAAATGCTATCTCCCATGGCGTAACCGTCCATGGCATGAGCATATAACATGGGCAATGAAGGTTTGTGGAGGATCTTCATTTGCTCACCGTCTCACCAGGTTCTCATTTGGTGCCCTTTGTCATATAATTTGGACTGAAAGAAACAACTCAATCTTCCGCAACAAGAGTATTTTTATTCCTGGCATGCGCAATCATATGATCAAAGTGGTGAAGGATAAAGCTTCAACCCTTGGAAGAGTTGCAGACACGCCAATGAATAGGAGATTACAAAGGAGTTGGGGGCTATCATCTTCCATTTTTTCTTAGTTCTTTCCTTTGGTTTCCTTGTTTCCTTTGGTCCGGTGTCTCAGGTTGCCGTGTTCCTCTGGCTTGTAGTGTCCTATGGGTCCTGGTTTTGGATTAGCCTTGTTTAGTGCTCCCGATTCTTCTCTCGGGGCTAGGTTGTCTGTTATTTTTGTATAGTCCTTGCTGGACCTTTCTTGACCCTTTCTGGACAGTTATGTCCTAATAGGGTCAGGTATTGGTTGGAGCTTAGCTTGTATTTGGTTTTGAGAAAGTTATATATATACTTACCTTACCAAAAAAAAAAAAAAAAAAACAACTGCGAAAGCAACTGCGAAAAAAACAACTGCGAAAGCATGCTTTTCATTTTCACCAAATCCGCGGCACTGTTCACTCGAGCATGAAAAATGCTCTCTGCCGGTGTTCTCGTAGTTACTGTTCACCCGTCCGGTTGATGTTGATTCCGGCCATCTCCGGCGACCATTGAAGTTGATTTTTGGAGGATAGGTTCTCTGTACCTCCCCCTTCAACCTCGCCAAAGAGCTTCCCCCGTTTCTCAGGGCTGGGGGCGGACCAACAGATCTGAATCTTCTCCGGTTGCGTCTTCTTCCGCCTGGAATCTGATCGTGTGGGGTTTCTCCCTTCTGATTCGCCTCCTTCGAGGTCGTCCAACCACTTTGAAGGTACTCCTCTGCTCGGTTTCCCCTTCCTGGTTGGTGAGATTGGATTGAGTAGTTGGTGGACGTATTTAAGCCGGGGTCCTGCTGATTCTGTTAGAACCGTCTCTGGTCATATGGTGCGAAATTGGGCTGACTGGTTGGTGGACTCTGTGTATTAACCTGTTATTTCGACCTTGTGGAGATGGTGTCTAGGAACCCCCCCTTGGTCCTAGCCCTGTGGTTGATGCACACCAGTTGACTGATGAAATTGCTGTATCGTTAAAGACAGCTGAGCCCAAAGGCAAATCAGTAGCCTTTTCCCAAATGAGCCACCCCCTTCTGGATCCAGGTTCAACCAGAGACGAAATGCTAGTCGTAGCTGCAGCCGGGGTCGATCCAAAAGTCGGCATAACCCTCCTAGTCAGGTCCATATTGCAGGACCCTCAGGCGCTTCTGTTCCCAGGCCAAATTCAGCAGTACAAGCTGATGTAGTAAGGAAGAACACTAGTCGTCAACCCTTACCTGCACCGGTGCCTAGATCATGGGCTAATGTTGCAAAGGCATTGACTAAGGGATATAATCTAGCTTATGTTCCTCCTATAGTGGAGGATGGTGAAATTATTGTAGACATTACCCTTGAAGTTGCTGCCAATGAAAATCCTCGTTGGCTGGAATGTATAGTTGGTCACTACATTGGAAGGAAAGTCCCCTTCAAGCTGACTGAAGAAGCTATAAAGAAAACCTGGGGTGACCAAGTAGTTGATGTTAAATTGCATGAAAGTGGCTTCTACTTCTTCCGAGTCCCAAACGCTGAGTTTCGCAGGAAGATCATCGACATGGGACCTGTCTCCATATTCAGCAGCACTATGGTGCTCCAGGAATGGCATTCAAAAATAAAACTCAAGAAGGGTAAGCTTGATTCTCTTCCGGTCTGGGTAAGGCTGAGGGATATCCCTTTCTCCCTATAGTCTCCGGCGGGTATTGGATGCATAGCTAGTGCCATTGGGAAGCCACAGTACGTGGATGTGCAAACTGAACAGCTCTCCAGAATTTCTTATGCGCGAGTCTGTGTTGAGATTAAAGCCTCTAGCCCTCGGATGGACACTGTAAAATTCAGGTGGGATGGTGAGGTGAACAACATCAGTATTGAATATGAATGGAAGCCTCTTGTGTGCTCCTCATGCTGTATCTTTGGCCATAAATCGGGAACAAAAGGTTTTGAATGTGCTGCTGTTCATCCTGACCATAGAATCGAATCTACTGCTCGGCCTCAAACAGATGGCTGGACCCAAGTGTCCCGAAAAAAAGGAAATCCTTCTCCTACTAACCCACCAGTCCAGCTGGGTCCTTCTCCTGATCTTCAACTGGATCGAACCTTGGGAGTTAACGATCCCCTGCCTCCTGCTCCTAACTATGGTGCTGAACCTATCCTGGTAGGTTCTGGTTTGACTCATCCCATGGATAATGAGGCAGGTCCCAGCTCTTCCCCTGCTCTGTATCCTTCAAGCTCGCTGGTCCAGCAGAATGTGGTTTTTTCCTTGATCTCCCAATCATCCTCGGAAGACCCCCCAGACTCACATATTCAAGTGGACAAGACCGGTATTCCAGGAGAAACAGGGGAGATCGAAACTACTGGTGCTTCCCCTCCTAACACACGGTCGCGTACCATTGCGTCCAGTGCTCCTGTCCTCTGTCCTCCAGGATATCTCGACCAGCAAAATGAAGACCCTACAACAAACTCTCAGTCATACTCTGACGACTCTTCTGCTTCTCATGCTGGGGCTGAGGATAGTGATCCGGAAGACCTAGTGGTGGATGAACCGGCTGTTGTCTCCCCTCCAACACCCGATCACGATCTCAGGTGCCTAATGCTGCGGAGGATTCCTCAAAAGCTCCTATGGGGGCTGTTCCTAGCCTGATATGCCCTGGTGTGACCCCTAGCCCGGCCTCCTCGAAGAAGAAATCCAGGAGGAGAAGGCCAAGGAAACCTCTGAGATAACTTTACGTTATTAAATGTTTTTTGGTATATGGAATATTAGGGGACTAGTGCATCCCCTTAGACAAGCTGAAATCCGTTCTTTTATTAGAAATCACCGCCTTTCCTGTCTTGGCATTGTTGAAACGAAAGCCAAAGCCTCCCTTTTTGCGGATATCTCTCGAGAGCTTTGTGGTAATTGGCGGTGGCTCTCCAACTACGACTCCTCCCCCCTGGGAAGAATTTGGTTTGGGTGGAACCCGGATGAGATGGAAACCACTCTCTTGTCTACTTCTGATCAGCTGATTCATGTTCAGCTCAGGCTCATCAATCTGAATAAAATTTGTCTCTGTACAGTTGTTTATGGTGAACATTCCTTTGTGAACCGGCGCCCTCTTTGGGCTGACCTGTTGCGTCTGTCTTCATGTAACCTTCCTTGGTTTGTCGCTGGAGACTTTAATGCCATCAAAGATCCGGCTGATAGGATAGGAAGTACAACTCCCTGGATCCCGGCTTTTGATGAATTTGGGGATTGTCTGAACCAAGCGGGACTTGAAGATATTCGATACGTGGGATGTAGATATACATGGTCGCATTCTTCAGGCGAGAACCGGAAATTACGCAAGATTGATCGGGTGCTCTCTAATGACATCTGGACTCAGCAGTTTTCCTTCTCAGAAGTCACCTTTCTCCCCCCTGGGATATCAGACCACTCTCCTATGGTGCTAAGAATCCTCTTGCCTCATAACTCTAAGAAGCCCTTCAAGTTTTTTAACTTTTGGACTTCGCACCCTAAATTCTTGGATCTAGTTGAGCAAGCTTGGGATACTCCGATAGTGGGCACTCCTATGTTTATTATCTGCTGCAAGCTGAGGGCACTTAAAGCAAAGTTGAAGCAGCTGAATAGGAGCTCCTTCTCTGACATTTCCTTGAGGACCGAACAAGCTAGATCAGAACTGTATGCTGTTCAGTCGGCACTTGAGCAACATCCTATTGACCAGAACTTACAGGACAGAGAAGTGGAGTTCACATGATCATTCTCTTCCCTAAGATTACTAGAGGAATCTTTTTTCCGGCAGAAGTCCCGCATTCGATGGCTTAAAGAAGGGGATTTGAATACCAAATTTTTCACCACTTTGTCAACAAAAGGCGATTACATAATCGAATCCTCTCGGTTTCAATAGAGGATGGGCTTCTGGTAACTGATCCTTTGGCGGTCAGGCATCATATTGTTGGTCACTTTCAAGGAATTCTCAATGGTGCTAGTGCTTCCAACCAGACCTCTATTATGGAGATTCGTGAGTTTATTGGCCGAGTACTAGATGAGAATCAGGGGAATTTACTGGCACAACCAGTTTTGGATGAGGAAATCCGGTCTACCCTCTTTTCGCTTGCTAAAGGTAAAGCACCCGGGCCGGATGGTTACAATGTTGATTTTTTTAAATCTACTTGGGAGATCACTGGACCCTCCATCCTTATGGCAGTAAGAGACTTCTTTGAGATAGGTTGCATGCTTAAAGAGATTAATAGCACTATTCTCACTATAGTGCCGAAATCCCTCAATGCTTCAGCCATGTCTGATTTTCGTCCGATTGCTTGCTGTAATACCTTATACAAATGTATCTCTAAAATCTTGGCTACACGGGTAGCTCGTGTCCTTCCAACTCTGATTGGCCTGGCCCAAACGGCGTTTGTCAAAGGACGCAGAATTAGCGATAATATCATGCTTGCTCAAGAGTTGTTTGCTGATTTCTACCACCAGGCGTACCTTCCCAAATGTGCCATTAAAGTGGATTTTCAAAAAGCATATGATACTGTTGATTGGAACTTCATTGAAAAGGTATTAATGGCTTTCAACTTCCTGACCTCCTTTGTCAAGCTGGTTATGGCATGTGTTTCTACTGCCAAATTCTCCGTTTCCATCAATGGGGAATTACATGGATACTTTGGTAGCACTTGTGGCATCCATCAAGGAGACCCATTATCGCCGTATCTCTTTATACTGGTTATGGAAGTCTTCTCAGGTATTCTCAACGCTAAAACAGAAATTCCAGAATTCCACTGGTTTTGGCGATGTAAGTATACCCGTCTTTCGCATCTCTTCTTTGCGGACGATGTACTTCTGTTTTCCGAAGCACACTTGAGATCAGTTGAGCTAATCAAGGAAGCTCTCTCTACGTTCACTGAGTGGTCTGGTTTAAAACCAAACACCACAAAAAGCAATATCTTTCTCTCAGGAGGGACCCAGACTTGCATGACCAGCTACTCCGATGCATTGGTTTTCAGCGAGGTACTCTCCCATTTCGGTACCTAGGTGTGCCTATTATATCCTCTAGATTGCGTAAAGAGGACTGTAAAGCTTTGATCGATGCCATCACTGCTCGAGCCCGCTCCTGGACCCATCGGTTCTTGTCATTTGCTGGTAGGCTGCAGCTCATCAAATCGGTCTTGCATTCCGTTCAGGTTTATTGGGCCACTACTTTTTCTCTTCCAAAAGCTGTTTTATATAGAATTGAGGCTATCTTGTGCCAGTTTCTATGGAAAGGTCCAGACCTTGGTGTAGGTGGAGCAAGGGTAACATGGGATTCTGTTTGTTTACCCAAGGACGAAGGGGGACTAGGTATTCGGCGCCTTGATGAGTACAACCAAGCGATGATCCTTAAGCACATATGGCTTCTTTTCTCTGATAAAGAATCCTTGTGGTGTAAGTGGATACACTCTACTTTTTTAAAAAACACCAATTTCTGGCTAGTCTCCAAACCTACCTTTTGTTCCTGGACTTGGAAGAAAATCCTTGACATGCGGGATTCTGCTCAATCTATGTTCCGGTGGAAGATTGGTGATGGGCATTCTGTTTCCTTCTGGTTTGATTCATGGCACAATAGAGGCCTCTTCACCTTCTTTTCAGCAATGGGGACATCTATCAAGCGCGCATTCCAAGGGATACCTCGGTTAAGCAATTTTATGAGGGTTCCTAGCAACCTTCGAACACTCTCAGCACTATATTGGGCTGGACGGATCCTCCCCCAACTTGTTCGGAAAATCTGCAGGACTCTTTTTGCTGGATCCCTCATCCATCTAAAACTTTCTCAGTTGCCCTTGCCTGGAACCATATTCGAAGGAAAGGACGGCCGATTCCCTGGCACTCGTTCATTTGGGATCAGACTATTGCTCCTCGCCATGCTTTTCTATTATGGCTGGTTTCCCTTAATCGGTTACCTACCCAGGTGTTCCTCATACATAATCACAGGATTGCCAATGCTCTTTGTGATTTTTGTGGATCCATACTAGATTCTATCAACCACCTATTCTTTGAATGCTCTTCTACCAGTAGGTTGGCTTCTATGTGGTCAACAAAATGCAGCTTACCTTGGCGCAACCGACCCTGGCAAGACCATATTATGTGGGCGATGAAAGTTTGTGGAGGAACCTCATTTGCTCACCTGGCAAGACCATATTATGTGGGCGATGAAAGTTTGTGGAGGAACCTCATTTGCTCACCGTATCTCTAGATTTTCCTTTGGTGCTTTATGTCATATCATATGGACAGAAAGGAACAATGCAATATTCAGACAAAAGAGTATATTCATCCCGGGCATGCGCAAGCATCTTCTCAAAGTCGTGAAGGACAAAGCCGTGTCCATGGGACGAGTCGAGGATACTTATAGGAATCGTGTTTTACAAAGAAAGTGGGATCTCCCACCTACAATCTTTGTAGTGAACAGGAGTGGCGCTTAAGTTTTTCGCTTGGTTTTTGTGGTGGCTCGGGTCTACCGTCCGTCTTTTGTGCTGTTATCGGCTGCGTCCGGTGTGTTTTGTTGCTGTTTTTCGGTGTCTTGAGTCTTATGCCTCCAATTCTCGGATTGGTTGGTTGACCTTGGCTGTAGTTTTTCTCTCCATATAGCCGGCCCTGGCGTCTTGTATAGTCCCTGCCGAACCTCTCTTGACCTTGTGTGGACATCTCCATGTCCTCATAGGGTCAGGTACTGGTTTGGGCTTTAGGTTCTATTTGGTGTTCTGAAAAGTTATATACATACTTACCTTACCAAAAAAAAAAAAAACAACTGCGAAAGCATTTGCCAAGGATGTTTTCATTAATCAAGAACGAAAGTTGGGGGCTCGAAGACGATCAGATACCGTCCTAGTCTCAACCATAAACGATGCCGACTAGGGATCGGCGGATGTTGCTTTTAGGACTCCGCCGGCACCTTATGAGAAGTCAAAGTTTTTGGGTTCCGGGGGGAGTATGGTCGCAAGGCTGAAACTCAAAAGGAATTGATGGAAGGGCACCACCAGGAGTGGAGCCTGCGGCTTAATTTGACTCAACACAGGGAAACTTACCAGGTCCAGACATAGTAAGGATTGACAGACTGAGAGCTCTTTCTTGATTCTATGGGTGGTGGTGCATGGCCGTTCTTAGTTGGTGGAGCGATTTGTCTGGTTAATTCCGATAACGAACGAGACCTCAGCCTGCTAACTAGCTATGTGGATGTACATCTCCACGGCTAGCTTCTTAAAGGGACTATGGTCGCTTAGGCCAAGGAAGTTTGAGGCAATAATAGGTCTGTAATGCCCTTAGATGTTCTGGGCCGCACGCGCGCTACACTGATGTATTCAACGAGTCTATAGCCTTGGCCGACAGGCCTGGGTAATCTTTGAAATTTCATCGTGATGGGGATAGATCATTGCAATTGTTGGTCTTCAACGAGGAATTCCTAGTAAGCGCGAGTCATCAGCTCGCGTTGACTACGTCCCTGCCCTTTGTACACACCGCCCGTCGCTCCTACCGATTGAATGGTCCGGTGAAGTGTTCGGATCGCGGCGACGTGGGAGGTTCGCCGCCGATGACGTCGCGAGAAGTCCACTGAACCTTATCATTTAGAGGAAGGAGAAGTCGTAACAAGGTTTCCGTAGGTGAACTGCGGAAGGATCATTGTCGAATCCCGCCTAGCGAGAATGACCGAAGAACCGATAACAAACTCAATGGGGACGGTGGGCCTCGCCCAATGTCTCCAGACGCTTGGATGGCAAGGGTGCCTACGGGCGCTCGGGCTTTTCCCGGCGGCACAACGAACCCCGGCGTGGAATGCGCCAAGGAACTTTAACAAGAGAGCGATGCTCCCATCGCTCCAGACATGGTGCGTGTGTGGGATGCCATGCAATCTCCTATTATTCATAACGACTCTCAGCAACGGATATCTCGGCTCTCGCATCGATGAAGAACGTAGCGAACTGCGATACTTGGTGTGAATTGCAGAATCCCGTGAACCATCGAGTCTTTGAACGCAAGTTGCGCCCGAAGCTTCGGTTGAGGGCACGTTTGCCTGGGTGTCACACATGGCGTTGCCCCTAACCCCTGGCCTTGAATTGGGTGGACGAGACTTGAGTGCGTATGTTGGCCTCCCGAGATGACCTTATCCCGGTTGGCCCAAAATCGAGCGTTGGAGCGATTAGCACCACGACATTCGGTGGTTGATGAGACCCCAATGATCAATGTCGTGCGTGTCGCTCATGCACATGCTCCACGAATCTACCTTTCACCAACGCGACCCCAGGTCAAGCGGGGCTACCCGCTGAGTTTAAGCATATCAATAAGCGGAGGAAAAGAAACTAACAAGGATTCCCCTAGTAACGGCGAAGCGAACCAAGGGAAGAGCCCAAAGATGCGAATCGGGCGCCTCGGCGTTCGAATTGTAGTACGAAGAAGCGTCCTCGGCGACGGACCGGGCCCAAGTTCCCCGGAAGGGGCGCGCAGAGAGGGTGAGAGCCCCGTCGTGTCCGGACCCTGTCGCACCACGAGGCACTATCGGCAAGTCGGGTTGTTTGGGAATGCAGCCCTAATCGGGCGGTAAATTCCGTCCAAGGCTAAATATGGGCGAGAGACCGATAGCAAACAAGTACCGCGAGGTAAAGATGAAAAGGACTTTGAAAAGAGAGTCAAAAAGTGCTTGAAATTGTCGGGAGGGAAGCGGATGGGGGCCGGCGATGTGCCTCGGTCGTATGTGGAACGGTGTGAGCCGGTCTGCCGATTGAC